TTCATTCTTTTTCTTCTCCCTCCCCCTCCTTCCTCCCTCTCTCCCTCCCTCCCCCCCGACTTCCCAGATCCCGTACACGGTATGGATTTTTAATCCATATTTTTCATTCTTTGACCATCATCTGAAACTATGAATTTCAGGACAGAAGCCGAGAATCAGAGCAATAAAGATGAAGCTGAGATCTGTCGTCTACCAAAGAATAAGCATGTCTATGAGACCCTGGGGAAAAAAATCCAGGCACTACATGAGGTAAGAAAAATACTGACTATTTTGCTTGACTCCATCAAACCATACTATTGTATAATTCACTGATGTGGCTATAGACAAGTTCGGGAAGGGTCACAGAAAAAAATCCTTCAAACTAAAGCAAATCTTATTTTAAAGCACAAAAATGAATATTTGTTGTTGCATTATTCCAGTATGCTAGTTTTGTGGATATTTTGGGGATAGTCTGGATTCCATTATTCTATTTATTGCAGCTGAAAGTGATGGGAGTAATAAATCACTGGGGTGAATTATTATTTTTTATTTCATTGAAAGAAAACGTTAGGGAGCCACATGGTTGCAAAGGCTAGTAACGGGCATGATTTGGAAGCATGTCTAAAAGGACTGAAGTGCATTTAGAAATTATTTTAGAGAATTTGAAAGAAATGTTCATGTGTCATTGCCCCATCGGAGCCACGTTCTGAGGGGGAGGGGTGGGTGGGGCTGGGGCTGATGGAGGAAAAGGGCGCAGCCTCTCTGGCCCAGGAGGAACAACTGGAAGAGCAGGACAAGGTAGTTCCAGATCCCTTGGGTCTCAAAAGGGTCACCAGAGAGGAAGAAAGGGCACAGGATGACCGAGTAAGGGGAGAGGAGATGGAAAGGGGAGGCAGCAGAGCAGAGGAACAGAGGAGGTCTGGAGACGAGCAACTGCCTCCCTTGCCCAATCTATCAGCATGGAGAATGGAGAGGAGGTAGACTCAGAGCAGAGTAACCCAACTACTCAGGAGGAGGGCACCCTAACCCTCTGCACAAGGCTCACCTGGAGAAAGGGATTTAAGGAGATGCTGGGAGGAGGGGCTTTTGTCAGGAATAAGTGTTGTACTTGCCAGCAACACTTGCCATTATTCCAGAAGCCTTGTTATTGATGACTTGCTGCTTTGTTTTGCTTTGCCTTGCTCGGCCTTGTTCGCCTTGCCTTGCCTCACCTTGTCCAGCCTTGCCATGTGTGGGATGCAGCAACCCAGCTCACCTCTGGCTTGTGCCACAGCTCTGGCAAACTCTCTGTGTGATGACAATGCACATAACCAAGTGTCCTGAACTGTTTTTCTTCTCAGAACTGTGCTGATCTCTCTTACTACTCACTTCAAGGAACTGCTTGAAGTGTGTGCATATAGAGCCTTGTTCTTGGGCTTACAGTGAGCTGTGGGAATTTGGGGGATGGTTGGTTCAATAAAAGGGGATTCCATCCTTTGCATTACCAGTGTTGCTTTCATGCCCCAGTCTCATAACAGACTGTTAATGTTAAATGTTCTTGCATTTATTTAGTTACAAGAAAATGATCAATTGGTGCATGTGAATAGCCACCCGACTTCACCAAACAATCATTTTCCAGGAGCCCACAGCCATTAACTTTAATCTTTAATGTATAAATATGAATTAACATGATTTTCAAACCCCCTGGTCTCTGACTTAGATATAGTAACAGCCACCATGATAAGTTATGCATCTTCCTATTCCAGTGCAATACAGTACAATATTCAATTGTCTAAGTCTTCTGGGGTGTAAATATTATGTCTGATGTCATCCTGGGTTCTCTCTCCAGGAGGTGCAATCTGCAAAGACCAAAGCAGAGAAGATGGCAACCTTAGCTGAAGTTGAAAAGAAACACAGTCTGGAACTCAACAAGCAGCTGATGGATCTTTCTAAGAAGCAAGATGAAATTAAAAAAAGCCAGACACTTCTTATAGCAAAGAAGGACAAGTGCGTATATGTGGCTTTTGTATTATTACATCTATGTATTCCACCCATGAGAAGAAAATATTTTGTGATGTTCAAGAAAAGTGTTTTACTTTTCATTTTAAATCCTTCTTAATAGAGGCCTACAAACTTAGTTTTCTCTTTCTGATGTGTGTTATATGTTTAATTTTGAGTCCTACTGATATATGATGGAACGAAGCTTGAATTGCAGCTTCAGAGCTCTTTCAAAAGTTGCACTAATAATTTTATATTAATTTCATAGTAGAAAAATATCCATATAGTAAATAATATTCGCTAAACAATTTAATTTTAATTCAATTTAAATCAAATCAAATTTAGTTCTTTTTTGCCTCGTCCCTTACCAAAAAATAAATATTTATATCAGTCGTAATATTGATTGTAATAGCAGTTCTTGTTGTGGTGTTATCATCATCATCAATTTTACTCTCAAAAACATTAAATGGTTGATTATAAATGCTTGGTATGGACCAACTGCCATTCAAAAAGCAGTCATGTCCAAGAACCAACTATCAAGTGTTTCTCTTCTAAATTAATCAATCCATTTCTCCTCTATAGGAAGATTAATGAGCTGATAAAGAATATGAAAGGGAAGGAACAACTCCTTGAATTACAATCCACAAAGAAACTGAATCTGTCACTGGAGAAACCTGAACAAACTAAAGTGCAGGTAATAATACAACTTTTCTACATGTGGTTTTACAGAACTAGGTTAATGGATCTATGAGATGATTTTAGAAAGAAAGTTAACTAGGATGTTTGAATAGATAACAGAACTGGTTAGTCGTCCCCCCCCCCCCAAACTAGTGCAGCTGGTGCTTGGGAGGAAAAGGATTGTGAGGGAAGCAAAACCAGCAGGATTTCTTCCCCTTGATTGTGCCACATGGCTCAGTAATGGCTCAGCAAGGAAGCTACCTTCCCTACCCTGAGCTCCTGAGCTTTGGATATCTTTGAAAGGTAAGTAACTGGATGATCACAGGGGAGGTGGGGAGGAGTGACTGGAACTTGGTGGGGGTTAGTTAGCAAAGAAGGCCCAGTGCCTCTTGGGACCTGGCAAGACAGGATGGGAGGGAAATAGGTGGGTAAGTATGCTGCAGCATCTCTGTAGTCAGTCATAAAGGTGAATGGGTGTAGGGATGCTGTAGGTTATAATTTTGAAATTGATATTTAGCTTTTTTTGGGGGGGGGGTGTAACTTCAAATGTTTATTAAATGGCCTGTCATTCCTCAAAGACTACTTGTATAAAAGGAAAAAAATGAATGACATTGACATAGGCATAGACTACAGATCTTCCAAACAATCAGGCAAAATAGATACAAAGTGTATCATACAAATAATGAATAACACAATTCGGGAGGGACAACTGGGCCAGCTGCCAAGACTTGTGCTTACCAGATGGAGATTTCCCTCCTCCACAAGCAGTCCAGCTGAGAACACTACAAAGCTCTTCATGATTGACTGCCAGGAGGTTTCCACTGAGAACATTCCAGAACTGATAACTGACTGTGAACAAGCCATGATTGATTGCCGGGTGGTTTTCACTCTGGGTCACAAGTGATGGGTGTGTGCAGGGGGGCGGGGTTAGCCTAATTACCAAGTAACTTTAAAAGGTGGTGGGGAGCACTGGGTGTCAGCTCTGACAATTTATTCATTGCCTTAGTGCTTTGCTGGTCAATTCATGCTGGAGGAAGAAGATAAACTGCATTTTCAAACCATCTCCATGTTTGGCTGTTTTCATTACCCTTTGGAACCTGACACAATCTATATCAAGGGGGCAACATCAACATTAGCCACAGGAAGGACCAAAAAGGAGAAGTTAGAAGTCTTAGAACTAAGGTGAAATTTCCTGACAGTGTAAACCAGGCATCCTCAAACAATGGCCCATGGGCTAGATATGGACCACTAATGCAAAATATTTGGCCCATGGAGTGGTGGGATGAAAAGCAGCTGCCAGCTTAAAGTAATGCTTTAAAAGTCTTTAAAATGCTTTTAAAAACAGCCTTCCAGATGTTTTTCACAGCCATGTGATCCAAGGTCGGTGGGTGAGTGGGAAAGGGGCTGATTTTAAAGTAGCACTTTAAAAGTGGGTGGGTGGGGGACATGTCTCCATGTCGCCTAGCTTTTTCACAGTCAGTTGAAGTTGGCTAACACTAATTCAAATGCAACCAATGTCAGCATTCCAGATAGCATCCAAAATTAAATCAGAGTCCAAGGCAAAGTACTACTCAAAGTTCCAATTTATTAAGAGAGCCATGCTGGCACATCTGGGAAAACTCGAATCTGAAGCTTCTCAGTTTTCCCCATCCAAGTTAAAGTTCATGATCTTGCCCTCACACCCACAAATCCATTACATGGTCCAATCTTCCACTGCCATGCTGGCAGTTCCACCCATCCANCCAGCCTTACTTCAGCAGCTCGTGCCTTTTTCTTTTTACCTTTTTTACATTTTCATCATGGCAGACAAGAGGAGAATTGAAATCTTCTGTGAAACAGCTGGAAAAGGTATGTGGGTTGGAGAGAGGGGGGAGGAATTCAAAATTATTGTAATTTGTAAGTAATTTTATTATTGTAAGTAATTTGTGTTTGTGTGTGTGTGTTTTACTGGCACTTTTTTTAAATGTGGGACATAAAGGAGACGCGGGAAGAGAAGAAAATCACGAATTTACGACCAATTAATTTGAGTAAAGCTTGCGCCATCTCCTCTAAATGGTTGCAAAAAACCTTTTCTCCTGCCTTGCAAAGGCGGCATTTGGGGGGGCAGCTCCCCCCAAATGCCGCCGCCAAGCCCAGTTGCTTGCTTCCAGTTCGTTCCGCAACCTGTGGCCGGGAGGCGAGGCCGAGGCAGCCTCCTCCTGCTCTCCCTTTGGTCTTGCTTCACCCAAGGCCCTGCTTCCGCCGCCGGCTCCTCTGCCCATACCCAGGCCTTTGCGGGCTGGCCGTGCTTCCTGAGCCCAGCACAGCTCGGAAGTTTAGAGAGGGTGGCGCGGCTCGGAGGTTATGAGATGGAAACGGTGGTTCCACGGCTTTAAAGTGGCTGCAGGGCCCCGGTGGCAGGGCTTTAAAGTCCCGGCGCCGCATCTGCCATAGAGCAGGACGCGTCCCCCTCTATGGCGGATGCGCCGGCAGGGCTTTAAAGTGGTGGCAGGGCCCTGGCGGCAGGGCTTTAAAGTCCCGGCGACGCGTCTGGCATAGAGCGGGACGCATCCCGCTCTTTGGTGGATGCAGCGGCAGGGCTTTAAAGTGGCAGCAGGGCCCCAGTGGCAGGGGTTTAAAGTCCTGCCACCGCATCCCACTCTATGGAGGATGTGGCGGCAGGGCTTTAAAATGGCGGCAGGGCCCCGGTGGCAGGGCTTTAAAGTCCCGGTGCTGCGTCCTGCTCTATGGTGGACACGGCGGCAGGGCTTTAAAGTGGTGGCAGAGCCTCTGTGGCAGGGCTTTGTTCCGCTCTATGGCAGACGTGCCGGCGGGGCTTTGGCAGGGCTTTCGGAAAGCCCCGTCGAAGCCCCGGCGCTGGCAGACATAAGGTGGCTTTTGCCCGCTTGCCTCACCAGCCATGAACCTCACTGCACATCACTGAATTGCAACACTGTACTAAGTATTGTAAGGTAGACTTAACTGCAATTACAAAATCCAGCACAGTGGCTGGGTTTCTGGGAAAAAACACTTGTCATGGAAAAACATATACAAGAAAGAAAACAAAATTATGAACACAAAATTTACTGGATTTAATTGTAACTTAGACATTCACATTATGTTATATCTTGGCTTTTCTTAAGGAGCTGAAGGTGACAACTACTTCCTCCAATATTTTTCAACAATAATTCTGTTATATCATTCCCAGTATCTTAGTTTTTAGAAACTATCATTCTAGAACAAATCATCTGACAGCTGCCAGTTTTCAAATTTCACTGTGCATAGCAAAACATGGTAAGCCCCTCTCTGATGGGGATATTATCAAACAGCCATGTTGTCTGGGAGTAATTCCCTTTTTCATGATTTCCCAAACAAGGATAAATTATTCAATGCATCTCTGAGATGCCACTTAGTAGAAATACTGTTAAAGATCGAGTCCAGTGCATGGCAAGTGATGTTAGTCAGCAGATGACCACTGACTTATAAAAGGCAGCCTGTTACTCATGTGCTTGAATGAAAGCAGATATAAATAATCATGCAAGGCTAGCAGTAATTTTCCATAATGCTGTTGGTGACATGATGAGAGAAGAGCAGGTGAAACTGGTGTCTTTGCATGAAAGAACACAAGGGATAGATATCTACAATGCTGTGATGGAGGCTTTTTTGTCACAAGACATAAGACCAGAAAAAGTGGATTCAATTACTAGTGATGGGTGACCTTCTATGGTGGGCGCAACATCTGGTTTCATACAGTTTTTAAAATGCATTTAGAAAATTCTACAACATTTGCAGACAATCCTACAAGCGATCAGGAAATCTACAAGGAATGTAGCAGCTGCAAAGGTGAATTCTCCAGATAAAACCAAATTTGAAGAACTTTATTTTTCCTGCTTACCCTGGTTAGATTTAGGAAATCTGGAAATGGGGTTATTGGAATTTCAAGAAAGCTCTATCTGGAAAAATAAATTCTATGGCTTGTATGAAATGTTTGAGAAGACAGAAGGGATGACAAAGGACAGCACAGTTAGTTCTGAAAATGAAATCCTTAAAGTGTGGAATTCTCTGCCTAATAATTCTCCTTCCTTCTGGGAGTCATCATCATAACCATCCTGAGAATCCTATTCTGTTGCCTCTACCACTGTATTCCTCCTTGTCTCAGTAACCTAGATCAGCATTCCAAAAGTACCAACTCCAAGTGAAAACTCCAAGACAGGCATTTTATCAAAGTTCTATTTTATTAGAGTAGGTATACTGGCAAATCAGGGAAAACCCGAATCGGAGAGTTCTGGGTTTTCCCTCAGTAAGTCAAAAGTCCAAACCCAAACCCTGATCCATCACATGATCCAATCGCAATCCATCCCAATGTAAGACTCACTTCAGCAACTCCTCCTCCAGGTGCAGGAATACCATGACCTTGTCCAAAAAGAAGAATGCTATTATGTCTAACTACATTCCCTCTACTAAATAGAGCCGAGGTGGCGCAGTGGTTAAATGCAGCACTACAGGCTATTTCAGCTGACTGCAGTTCTGCAGTTCAGCGGTTCAAATCTCACCGGCTCAAGATTG